AACTCCAGCCCAGCCAGACCCAATACAGTGTTGCTGCAGGAAAGTACTACAGGACAAGGATGATGTGTGGTGCTACATGAAAGTAAAAAGCAGCTCATGAGAACATGATGTTTAAGGAAGAGTGGGTGAAACATTCTTTTAGTACTGGAATAATTTTTTGCCTGTTGACCATCTGTAGGAAGCTCTTCACAGGCAAATTACTGTGTAGGATTAACTGAAACCAGGTGTGTGTTGGCCTCTGGTACTGATGGCGATTGCTACGTCTGGTAGCGAGAATAGGTCTTGTGGTGGACATAAGCTTATTGCACCAAAGGATTCAAAAGACTTAGAAGTTTTTGGTTTTGTTGCCTCTTAGAAGCTAACCAAATTTAAGGATGTGTGAGTGGAAAATGGACTAGATCTTAAACTGGTGGGCCCTTGGAGTTCAGTAAACCAGATGGTAGCCCCAGGCTGTTCAATCTCTAATTAGAAGTAACCTGTTGGAATTAATTACTTTAGTATCTCAATTAAAAACACAAAATCTGTGGAAGAAAACTTTCCGCTGCAAAGTAAATAAACTCACTTCAAAGAGCAGGATGGAAAAGGGAATGAAATAATTTGATGCAACTATATGACTTTGTTTGGATTTGCAATTTGCTGATGCCTCCTGATAACTGTTTGTTTTACTGCAAATATTTTTAAATGTTCTATTTCTATATATTTAGAATATACTTCAACATATCCTTCGGTGTTGTTCCTCTCTTCAGTCATTAGTGACCAGCTAAACCTCTACTTCTGCTGTCACAAATGTTGGCTTCCAGCATGCCCCTTTTCCTTCTAGCATTTAAATAACATTCACCACTCTTCCCTCTTAACACCTTCCATGTTAGGCCTGATTGGTTTATGGCTTTTCTACAAACACCACTTGGTCTTACAGTTTTGCTCTTTCCTTTCCTTTGCTATTTTTGGTTTTGCTATTTTTACAGTTTCTAAAGAGAACAGAGTCTATTTCTTTGGTTTTGTTGTAATGTTCTTCATAAACTACCTCACCATGCTTTTAGGTCTTTGGTGGTAATATTTACTATTAGTGTTGACATACATAATCCAGCAAAAGTGTGGAAAAAATAGCAATTTCTTGAAAACTGACTGTACTGCTTAAAGGACTAATAGATTTTCTCTACAGTTTAAGCAAATGTAGTCTGAAGTTAATATGCAGTCTGTTTTAATATGCAGTAATTTATTAACAATGACCATGTGATCTCCTTTGTGTGATGGTGCTCTATGGTGATGGAGCAGTTATTGTACTCAGACACAGTTCATTGATGTTTTTCTCCAAAGCGCATTTTTGCCATGCCTAAAAGTAGATGGAGAAGCTGTATACTTGGGAGATCTTGCAATCCCAGCTGCTTCTATTTATATGTACTGTGGACTGTGTTTTAAAGAAAAGAACTGCGGTGAGGGAAACAAAAAGAAAAAATAGAAAAGTAAAAAAAAAAGTTGAATGTTATGTCATAGTGTGAAATGTATTTCAAAAGTTTGTCTTTACATTTCTTTAAAGCTTTTTAAGTACAGTGGCATAAGTAACTTGTATAAACTGTAGTACTATTTGGCAGTAGTTAGAGATTTTTAATGCTGATTTTTATTTTCCAAATTTTTGCATAGGTCTGTAACCAGTGATGAAGGATCCATGAATGCATTCACAGGAAGGGGGTCACCTGGTAGGGGTCAAAAGACTAAAGTCTGTACCACACCTTCATCTGGTCATGCTGCATCTGTGAAGGATTCAAGCAGCAGATTGCCTGTTACAGACCCCACTCGGCCTGGTGCCACCACCAAAATCACCACCACCTCCACCTACATATCTGCCTCTACACTTAAAGTTAACAAGAAAACCAAAGGGCTCATTGATGGTCTTACTAAGTTCTTTACACCATCACCTGATGGTCGCAGATCACGAGGTGAAATAATAGACTTTTCAAAGCACTATCGTCCAAGGAAAAAGGTCTCTCAGAAACAGTCATGCACTTCTCTTGTGTTGGCTACAGGTACCACACAAAAGCTAAAACCTCCACCTTCTTCACTTCTACCCCCAACCCCCATCTCTGGTCAGAACCCCAGTTTGAAAAATTCCAGCACTTCCACTTCTTCTAACTCTCCCCAAAGTTCTTCCAGTCAGTCAAGCATACCCTCAGTTAGTAGCCTTCCTAATAACAGTCAGCTAAAGGGACTCTTTGGACTCTCTCATATCTATACCACTCAGGGACAGTCTCGAAAAAAGAGACACCCCAGGTATGCACCACCCAAGTGTTTGCATCGTAAACCTGAATTATCTTCTGCATCAAAATCTAATAGCCATTTCTTTGGAAAGGAAGAGGTTAGGAGGTTTATTTCTCATGCCTGTAACTCTGGATGGGGTGTGTCTAGAGGATGTGCTTTTAAAGCAATTGCTCACTTCAAGAGAACAACTTTCCTTAAAAAGCACAGGATTCTAGACAGATTAAAGTATAAAGTGACCCCTCAGATGGGGACCCCCTCACCAGGGAAGGGGAGCTTTGCAGACGGAAGGATTAAACCTGATCAGGATGATGGTAAGCAAAGGTCAAAGTGCCAACCAAACTGGTGTCCCGTCCAAAACCAAAATTCTTATATTGTCACATAGGTCTTAGCTATTTCTCTTGCTCTTACTTCACTTTCATACAAAAGCAATGAAACTTTGACCTTTTATCTAATGCTGACTAAATCTCCAAAACGTTAGGTTTTTGTTTCGTTTTGTTTTTTTTCTAACTAATGCCACACCACCTTTTTATTATTTTTTTTTGCATCTGTAGTGATACTAGGAGCCCCAAATGCTTTTGTAATGTTGCTTATGGCTGTGTAGTACCGCATGAGTGGCCACTTTTCATGCTACTTGTTCGTCTAATGCCCTTTCTCTGGCAGTAGTGCTGTCATGGTTGTGTGCTGTCAGTGCTTAATAGTGGTGGGCATTTCAATTCATTTCCCTCTGCTCCATTGCTTTTTCATGAACAATTCCATCTTGCTACAGTCTCCACCACACTTGATCTGTACTGCTGTGAACTACTTTTTTATTATCACTTTTATTTAAGAAAAAAATACGTTTGAATGTAGACTTAGCTTAGCATTGGTCTCCAACTTCTAAGGGCAAGTTTTTTATTCACTTATTTTTATTTTTACCTTGTAGAGTGTCCTGGAATTTATCAAGTGGCATAGTTCTAGTGATGGAATATACTACCATTTCATGAGGTTCAAAGCTAATTTAGTAGAATTGGACTGTAAAGGTTTACACAGACAGATGAGCAAGTATCAAAAATAGCTTATGCAATAGCAAGCTACAAAACAAGAAGGGGGAGGAAATTTCATTTCTTTTACTTAGTAATCCCAAATTTAGTTAAAATGGGGAGTCACAACAGCCGTAGTTGCTACAATCCTATCTAGGAGTATCAGTTTGGTAAGGCATGTGTAACCTTCATGTATGTGAATAAACTTTTTGCTGGTTTTAAATAACAGATACTGAAATCAAACTAAGCATCAAACAAGAAAATACGGATGTATTTCTGGTGGGAAGCAAAGACACTGTTACACAGGAGGATTTGGAAGTATTTAAGCAGGCTCGAGAACTTTCCCTGGAGGTAAGAATCATATTGCATAAAATGTAGTTATTTCTGTAAATAAAAACTCAGTTCATTTTCATGTCTGTTCATCTTCTTTTTTAATATATTCCATTTGATCTCATGTGTCATGCTTGCTGTGAATTTAATTTGGGTTACACACTCTATATACAGTTGCAGTCTCCTATATAGGAAACAAGGCATCACACTGGAATGGGTCAGATCATAAGTGATACTTGGGATAGATTTTGAAATATATACTTGAGCATTTTGGACACAGGACTACCACTGATTAAGCATAGCTGACGTCCTGGTTGAGTCTGAGAGGATGTTGGTCAGTAAGAAAGTGCCTAATGATTTTCCTCAGTGGATAAAGCAGCCACTGTGAAAAGTCTGTCTGAGCAGATACTGTTTGTTAGGAAACTGGGTTTTTGAGCTGAATCTGGCTAAAACTGTTTCTGCCATCTGGTGTTAATTCTCTTCTTTAAGGTTTGTAGTGGTAATGTAAAGCTTGTGGAGACTAAGGTGATTTAAAAAAAAAAAAATTTTTTTTTTTTTTTTTTGGCCAAGGAAACTGGACATAGCAGCTGAATCTTCCTGTAGCAACACAGACTTTTACTTTTCTGTGTCTCTGAAGTGAGGAACCAGTGTCTTTGAGAACCTGGGTCAGAAAGGAGGTGTATGTAATGTTTCAGCTGCTGCTTTTTATAAAGTTGCATCAGAAATGAGTGTCTTGCACTTTCATCAGTAATGGATGTAACTTAATTTCTTTCAGGTTTAGTGTACAAGAACTGACATTACCTGCTTATGGGTCAATGCAGTGACTTTTTTATAGTCTTAACTCAGAATGTGTTAACTGACAAACTCAAATCAGGTTTGAAGATTCAACTTAATTATTAGTTTGTACTTCCATTTGCTCCTGAAAATGGTTCCCACTTCCTCCTTTCTTTCTTTCATATGCCATCCAAAAATATTAGTTGGTAAGATTTCTAAAATTTGTGACATTGAAATTAGTTTTTTTTTGGTTTTTTTGTTTTTTTTACCCACCTTTCTTCCTGCTTTGTATTTTGCCAGCATTTTAGAGTCTGGCAGTCATTCTGATCAGCTCAAGTTAAGTATGATAACTGAGATTAGTGTGTGTAGTACTCTGTTGACTATTACAAGGTAAGTTCCGAGGGCTCTAGAGGAGTTCTGCTGATGCCTTCTCCCTCACTGTTTTGACAAAAGGACAGCTTTGAGTGTGAACCAGAACTGTAAAGAAGTCCTTGTGCTAGATGCTGTAGGAAAAGAGAACCAAGGCAGTTGTGCCTCTTATTTGTCTGGGCCATGCACTATCTATTTGTATGCACTTACTTGTAAGCACTGCTTACTTAAATTCATGATCAATTGTTTGGCACCTTGAAAGAAATTTTCACTGTTTATATTTGACTGTTGGCAAACTCTCTCTTGGTTGGAAGAACTTGAGCAACTAATTTGAATACTTCAGGTTTTTCACACCTTCACTGGGTGAAATTGATGATATAAAGCTAACTTTCCTTTTACTTTTGCTGAGACTAATATTTTGCTTTTATTGCACCTGACAGAAAATTGGGTGTAAAAACACTGGTGAAACAAGTGGGCGATACCCTTCAGTGATTGAGTTTGGAAAATACGAGATTCAGACCTGGTACTCTTCACCTTACCCACAGGAATATGCAAGGTAGCGAGTTGTCAAGATTGACCTACATTGTTGGAAGTCTTACTAACATGATATTTGTAATTTATTTTCTTTCTCTTTTTTAATTGTTTATAATTTACAACTTTTAGAAGTAAATATACCTTTGCAATTATAAGGGAGAACAAGGGTTTCTCTTGTCTTTTTTTTTTTTTTTTTACTAATTCTAATAAAAGATGCATTAAAAAGACTGATTTTCCTAGTCCTGCCTAAACATAATATTGCATTGTGTATTGTTGTGGCTTCATTTAGAATTTTTTGGGGGGTTTTTTGTTGGGTTTTTTTGTTTGGTTGGTTGGTTTTTAAGTCATTGCAACAAGGTATGTCCAACTTCTGGCCATGATTTAGAGCAATTCATCTTGTTTGTCATCTGGAATTTGTTAACCTCCTTTTTCTAGGAACCAGGTTGAAGTCTGAACATGCTAGATAAATACAGTCAAAGTGAGCAAGTTGTGGCAACAGGGTCTCATTTCTGGCCGCCTTTGCCAAGGTGCACCTTGGAGTCAGACAGAGAGCATGAGCATGAACTATGTGTGCTCAGCAGATCTCTGCTGATTTTTGCATGTGCTGAAAATAAATGTTTTATGAATCCATTTGATCTATGGCACACATGGAGATTTTCAGAACTGTGTGTTTATCAAGCTCTACTACAATAGCAAGCAACCAAGTTATGTGGTCTGTTCCAGAATGCTTTTGCATAGCATTGCTATAAACTGCCTTTTCTCTCCATCCCTCTCATTCCTATTTTCATCTTTGCATGGTGGGAATGAGACATATATCATGAATTGGTAATATAAAAATCAAGGGCTAAAAAAAGTGTAGAGAGCACTTCTATTTCCTCTATTACCACTTTTTTTTTAGTGTTAATATTTCATTTCAGTTACTTTTTTATTCCCTCATTTTATATCATATTGTGAAAGAGTTACCTGTTCCATCAAGTAAATTAAACTTGCATAGGCATAATGATGGATAATTATTAGTATGATGCAACAGTGGGATGGCATCTGTAGGAGGCAGTGTGGTTCTCAGCTCTGAGTGCAGTGGGATTACATAATGGAAGAAACAGTTCAAACTACTTTTTATGTTGTTGTTAAACTTGGAGTGGCGTAAACCATGGCTATGATCTCAACATGATCCCAGGATGTGCCTGTAGCTTCAGAGGAGATACTGTTCTCTGCTCTGAAACTTTGTAGACTAATTAATTTCTGAAGCAGGCTTCCTGTGCTACAGTAATTTAAAAGGTAAATAACAATAAAATTCCCTGAAAGGAGCAGTTTCTGCTATGTAGAACGCTTGTCAGCATTGTCTTACATGGGGCATGTGAGTTACTTTTATAGAGACTGAACTGAATCCTTCCTGGGGGAGTACAATCATCTACGTTGCCTGTGTTGTGGAGGTGTGTGGAAGGGCGACTTTTTGCCTATATGCAAACTGTTTGGATGGGCCTCTGTGTTTAAGGAAAATGGTAGTTTAGGTGGAGGTGGGGGGGTACAATCCTTCTACAGTTTGCTGTCTCACCCAAGTATTCAAAAAGCAGTAGGAAGAAAAATCATTTCCTAGCCTTCCACACATACAAAATAAGGAAAATTAAAGGGAAA